AAAAAAAAAAAGCAAGCTTCTGTAGCTATACCAATAACAAAATGTAAAAAGGGGTTCTTAATGATAAAAGATTCCATTTACCTAGAGATATAATAAACCTAAGTGTTTGAATGCACCTAATTTGGCCTCAAAACATATAAAACAGAAACTGACAGAACTACAAAGATACAGACAAATTCACATACAGAAATTTTTTAACACTTTTTTTTTTTGAGATGGGGTTTTACTATGTTGCCTGGGCTGGTTTTGAACTCCTTGGCTCAAGCAATCCTCCTGCCTCAGCCTCCCCAGTATGTGGGACTTATAGGCACATGTCACCTTGCCCAGCCACACACAGAAAGTTTTAACAAAGTTCTCTTAGTAACTAATAAAAGCGAGCAGACAAAAATATGAGGAAGGCTATAGAAGATCTGAACTCAATCTTAACCCTGGCTGCACAGCAGACCCACCTGGGAAGCTAAAGAACCTAAATGGCACGCTGTAGTCAACAACTAGAGAACCCACATTCATAAGCACAAACCAAACGCTTCCAAAAAACCTAACCATGATGCAATTCCATCAGCTATCTAACAATAATAAACAATTTTAAAAGATAACTAAAATAGACCTCATATATTTGAAAACTTTAAAAAAATATATCTCACATATACAAAAGTCAGCCCAGAAACCAAATTTCAAATGGTCTCTGGCACCCAGGAGTTTTCTGCACCTGGGGACAACAACCTGAAGAAAGACCAGGCTGCTGAGAGGCTGACCTCAGAGCGTAAGGGCAACTGAGTGAGGGAGGTGGGAAAGGAAAACCCACACACCCATTCCCAGCATGTTCGCGGGGAAGCTGGCTTCAGGAATGAGCACACGAGACAGTGGAGGACCTGGAAACTGACACCTCCAGGACTATGCAGGCCTTAGAAAGTCTCCATGACCCCAGATTAAAACTGCAGATTAGCTGGGCACGGTGGCTCAAGCCTGTAATCCCAGCACTTTGGGAGGCTGAGACGGGCGGATCACGAGGTCAGGAGATCTAGACCATCCTGGCTAACACAGTGAAACCCCGTCTCTACTAAAAAATACAAAAAACTAGCTGGGCGAGGTGGCGGGCGCCTGTAGTCCCAGCTACTCGGGAGGCTGAGGCAGGAGAATGGTGTAAACCTGGGAGGTGGAGCTTGCAGTGAGCTGAGATCCGGCCACTGCGCTCCAGCCTGGGTGACAGAGCGAGACTCCGTTTCAGAAAAAAAAAAACTGCAGATTAGCAGAGACATACTATGATACAGACAATAGAAGGCCTCTGGCCTCTGGAGGATCTTAAGCAGGCAAGGCACAGGCTGGAAATGATTCGGAAGCTGCTTCTGGGAACAAACATGACATGACCACAGTTCTTAACCCACAGCAAACCCACCTGGGGAGCACAGAAAGATTAATGCCATGGTCCTACACCAGGCCAACTACATCAGAATCACCTGGCAATAAGAGGCTATTTTACAGTTAAGCAGTTTCCACATCTCTGCTTGCAATGAAACAGAATGCAGATGTAATCAACAGTCAGCTGAAAGGACATCCAAAGTTTTGATAAAAGATCACTGCATGACGTTGGGTTTATAAGAAGAGCCAAGTATTCAGTGACGCTGCTCTACCAAAACTCCCTCTGTGCCAGGCACAGTGGTGGTGAGCACCTGTGTCCCAGATACTCAGAGGCTGAGGTAGGAAGATGGTTTGAGTCCAAGAGTTCAAGACAAGACTGGACAAAATAGTAAGATCCCACCTCTAACAGAAATTAAAAATTTAAAAAATAACCCTATCTCCATCTACTACTTAAGAGAACACAGTTTCTCAGAATTCATGTACATAAAAACAAAAAGTGGAAGTGGTACTGAACTTGTCTGACAATAGTATTCATTCAGATGGGGGTGGGGGAGTGACATCCCACTAAGATCTCACCTTTCAAAAAATGTTTACTTTTGTATTATAATTATTCAAAAACTGTGTAATGCATTTACTTTCATCAAGTGTGTACAGATAATTATAATAATCCCAAATAAAATATTAAAACAGTTTCACCGTCTCAATGAAATCAAAAAGTTTAAATCATATTTATTTTACTTGCAGAAGAATATGGTAGGCTAATGAATAACATTTTCAAGCATTAAGTATATTGCATTAGGATAAAATTCTGTGTGGAAATGAAAATACAAGTTCAATTAAAAAACCAATGTACTGGCCAGGCACAGTGGCTCACACCTGTAATCCTAGCATTTTGGGAGGCCAAGGTGGGCAGATCACTTGAGGCCAGGAGTTCGAGACCAGCCTCGCAAACATGGCAAAACCTCATCTCTACTAAAAATACAAAAAATTAGCTGGACATGGCAGTGTGCGCCTGTAATCCCAGCTACTCAGGAGGCTGAGGCAGGAGAATCTCTTGAACCCGTGAGGTGGAGGTTGCAGTGAGCTGAGATCGCACCACTGTACTCCAGCCTGGGAAACAGAGCAAGACTGTCTTAAAAAAAAAAAAAAAAAAAAAAAACCTCTACTAAAAATACAAAAACTAGCTGGGCATGGTGGTGCACACTTGTAATTCCAGCTACTCAGGGGGCTGAGGCAGGAGAATCACTTGAACCAGGGAGGCAGAGGTTGCAGTGAGTGAGCCGAGACTGCGCCACTGCACTCCAGCCTGAGTGATAGAACAAGATTCCCGTCTCCAAAAAAAAAAAAAAAAAGTGGATATCAAATTGCAATATTTAGATTCCACTGAATGCTTAAAATACTGAACAGTTCCATTTTAAAATGTCAATATTTAAAATATACTGTCATCCTTTGCAAATACTTAAACCTAATGACAAACAATTTTTGATGCCAACTTTTAAAAAGTTTGCTACAACAGAAAAAAAAGCTTAAAGACTACTGCCGCAGCCTCCGCACAAGATCCCCAAAAGGATAGGGCCTGAGCAGCCTCCCCAGGTCCTGTGCTGCAGCCACCAGGCACTTAAGAGTTCTAGTCACCTCTGAGCCACTCCTTCATCTAGACCACCCCACCCCCGCACCACAGCAGGAGCTGTTTTATGGCTGCTCGGAAGACAGCAGGTGTTCAGGGAATGTTTGCCTGAGTGCACACCTCTACCCTCTCCCGATAGAGTGAATGAAGGAGATAAAAAAGGGAAAAGTTGAGGAAGCATCTCTCCGGCTCATTAAAGGAAGAGGCAGTTCTTGGGAAACACTGAACAGAAAATTCTGATTTCCAAGCAATTTCTTTCGGGAATTTACAGGAAGCACTCCAAATGTTTCAGGAATATCAGCAGAGTCAAACAGAAAGGTGGAGGAAGGCAAAACAATTGTATTCCAGACTGAAAATTTGATGAAAGCAAGTGCAGAAGCCTCTCAGTCCTGTGACATCTCAAGCCACGGATGATGCTAACCATCAGCTATCTACAACCAAAATTTAAGCCACTGTCTTAGATGTGTCTATTACTTGTGGCTAATCCTGATTTCTACAGTTCCGGCACTATTTGCACCTTGCTTTTAAAAAATAATAATAATAATGCTATACTGAACTCATTTCCATGAAAAATATAATAATGCATTATTGTATATAATAATGCAATAATGCATTATCATTTCTTTAAAATATCTGAAAGCCCTAAGACAGAATAATGTGACAGAATGTGACTCGGGGGAGACAGGGTGGTTAATGAAGAAGTGTCTGCGTGGGTGGCACTTGAATTGAGACTTAACAGATGAGAAAGAACCAAGCAGGCATGAGGAGCCAGGAGGCAGTGTCCCAGACAGAGGGAACAACAGGTGCAAAGGTCCTGAGGCAAGAAGGCAGCCAGGGAGGCTGGAACAAAATTAACAGAGAGAACTGACTGGAGATGCACCAGGGGCCAGATTGTGCAGACATAATGCATGCTTACCCCTTCACAGGGGACTCCAGGCTCTGAGGATCAGAGTGAAAGCTGAAGAAAGTATCCCCAGATGCCACTAACAGCAGTGTGGAGGCTCGGGGCAGGAAGGAGAGGAGGAGCTGAGGGGACGGGCAGACCAGGCAACACAAAGACAGTGTGAGTTCCCAGAACTAAACAAGAAAGTCAACCAGCAGGGACCAGAGAGCACGGTGATGGAGAAAAATAGAACACTGGCCAACAGCTTAAGCCATGGGAAGGGTTGAAATCAGGCAAGCTGGGGCAGGAGCAGGTCCCGCTCCAAGCTGTAACCCAGCCCCAAATTATTCTTCTTTCCCCTTTTTCCTCACCTTGACTGCCTCAGTGTGGAGTCTGTGTAGCAGCTGTCGTTGGCCACTGCTCACATATTACATACTCTGGGGCAAAAGTCACAGGCACTAAAACTGCCTACAGGTCCAGTCCCTCCACACTACTGATGACAAGACCCTCAACCAAGCACTGGAAAAGGGGTTCTAAGGGGTTCCCCCATTGTCCAGGTGAAGAGTCAGGTACATCGAGAGAACTGCTGGGCTTAGAGCTCAGACAAATCAGAGTTTAAATACTGTTTATGTCATTTGCTAGCTGTGTTATTTTTGTATAGTTATGAAAGCCATCTATTTCAAACAGCTTGTTTGAAAATTAAATGCAGTAAGGCATGGCAAGGTCAGTGCCTAACACACAGCAAAACACCCAATAAAGATCCAGTTCGCTTGGTTCTTCCCACTACTGAGGGGGTTCAAGTCAGACAGCCTGACAGTTCCACTACCTTCTGGCTACGTAACTTTGGGCAAGACACTTTCAAACCTGAGTCTTAGCTTCTTAGTGGGTAAAATGGAGATAACATTACTCATCTCGCATGGCTTTTAAAGGAAGTGAGGAGGATGAAAATTGTCAAACTCAGCTCGTGACACAATACCCATCGCTTCTCATTATTGGTGGGTGTGACCAAGATAAGGAAAAGGCCAGGGACGGAGGTGCAAACCTATAAACCAAGCTCGGGTCTCTGCTGCTCGGGAGGCAGGGCCTAGCAGCCAACCGAACAGTAAGCCTGTCCTCTTGAGAACCACTCACCTGGTGGTTCCAGATAGAGCCCTCTTTGCTGCGCTCGTCAGGGGTCAGACGTACGTACTGGCTCGTGAGCATAGTACTGCCCTGGAAGTCCCAGAGGGGCATAGAGCTGGAACCGACCCCTGTGGGAAGAGACAGGTGCTAAGAGGCCACGCCAGGACTGACCTCGCCAGAGGCAGGAGACCCACAGAGGTGCTCTGCTCAGGAGAAACGGCACGCCTTCCCCCAGCCCTGTTCAGCCTCGCCCTCACTCTTCACTCATTCCCACCACAAGGGCTTCACCTTGGTAGGGCTTAATGAGCGAATGCTCCCGCTTGAGATGTTCACTGTTGCCGTCAGTTATATCCGCAGTCACAGACCCCAGCAACAAAAGAAGAAAGAGAGGTGTAGTGGGGCCAGGGCCGGGGCCGGGAAGCCCAGGCCTTCCCAGGCACCGCCGGCCCCAGCCCCAACGCCAAATCCAGCCTTCCGCCGCCATTCTCCTCGCCTCTCGGCCACTTCCGCCCTAGAAGTTCCGCCTTCCGGGTGTCCCATCTAATGGCCTCCGGCCGGAAGCTCTTCAACTTTAGGGTCACCAGGGAGTCAAAAAGCAAAGCCTCTGCAGCAGAGGGGGCGGCAGCTGCATTGGTCGGGCAGCCTCTCATCCTGGTTGAGTGCAGTTCCATCTCCTTAGAGGCTCCAAGGCACAGGCCGGCCAGCCCCAGCAATGGGTTCTTACGAGCGACAAGAGCTGTAACCAGTCACGGAACAGCACGTTAGGCTTGCGAGCCAATGAGGAGCAGAGGGATGGTTGGAGCCGGCGGGAGCGCGAGGGCAGTCCGCGACTCAACGCATGCTGGAATTTGTAGTTTTCATTGGTCGCTCTAATAGGCCGGATGCGGGAAGACTAGGATGTCCTGGGCTTCTGGATGCAAGTTCAGTCTCTGGAATAACCTTTTCTAGTCCTGGAGAAAGGAGCTCTGAATTGAAGGCGGAGTCCTGAATTCCAGCTCTTGGCCTCCCCGGGTGGCCCTGGGCAAGCCTTTAAGCAGTGCTTGCCGTCAGGCGCCCCAGCTTCACGCCTTTGGACACTCAGAATTCCCAGTTATTTGAGGGCCTCCACTACCCTCAACTCCTCAGGCCTAGTCGGGTTGAAGCAGGAGGAACAGACACAGATCCTGGCCTGGGACCCCAGTGATCACTGGATCATCCCTATGCAAAAGAGTGCAGTGCCCGGTACAGCAAGAAGCATCCGTGAAAGGCCCAGGAAAGCTGTGAATCAGAGGTGGAAAATGTCAGGCCTCTGAGCCCAAGCCAAGCCATCGCATCCCCTGTGACTTGCACGTATACGCCCAGATGGCCTGAAGTAACCGAAGAATCACAAAAGTGAAAATGCCCTGCCCCACCTTAACTGATGACATTCCACCACAAAAGAAGTGAAAATGGCTGGTCCTTGCCTTAAGCAATGACATTATCTTGTGCCTGGCTCATCCTGGCTCAAAAAGCTCCCCCACTGAGCACCTTGGGCCTCCCACTCCTGCCCGCCAGAGAACAACCCCTCTTTGACTGGAATTTTCCTTTACCTACCCAAATCCTATAAAACGGCCCCACACTTACCTCCCTTCGCTGACTGTTTTCGGACCCAGCCCGCCTGCACCCGGGTGATTAAAAAGCTTTATTGCTCACACAAAGCCTGTTTGGTGGTCTCTTCACACGGACGCTCATGACATTTTGGTGCCATGACTCGGATCGGGGGACCCCCCCTTGGTAGATCAATCCCCTGTCCTCCTGCTCTTTGCTCTGTGAGAAAGATCCACCTACAACCTCGGTTCCTCAGACCCACCAGCCCAAGGAACATCTCGCAAACATCTCACCAATATTAAATCGGGTAAGCAGCCCCTTTTTACTCTCTTCTCCAACCTCTCTCACTATCTCTCAACCTCTTTCTCCTTTCAATCTTGACACCACCCTTCAATCTCTCCCTTCTCTTAATTTCAATTCCTTTCATTTTCTGGTAGAGACAAAGGAGACACGTTTTATCCCTGGACCCAAAATGCCGGCGCCGGTCACGGACTGGGGAAGGCAGCCTCCCTTGGTGTTTAATCATTGCAGGGACGCCTCTCTGATTACTCACCCACGTTTCAGAGGTGTCTGACCATGCTGCAGGGACGCCTGCCTTGGTCCTTCACCCTTAGCGGCAAGCCCCGCTTTTCTGGGGGATGGGCAAGCACCCCGACCCCCTTCTCTCCCTGTTTCTACCCCTTCTCTGCTTTTCTGGGGGAGGGGCAAGAACCCCAACCTCTTATTTTTGTGCCCCAACCTCTTCTTTTTGCGCCCCAACCTTTTTGCACCCCGACCTCTTATTTTTGCACCCCAATCCCTTATTTCTGCACCCCGACCCCTTTCCTGCTTTTCTGGAGGGCAAGAACCCCCCGAACTCCTTCTCTCCGTATCTCTACTCTTTGTTTTCTCTGGGCTTGCCTCCTTCACTATGGGCAACATTCCACCCTCTATTCCTCCTTCTTCTCCCTTAGCCTGTGTTCTCAAGAACTTAAAACCTCTTCAACTCACACCTGACCTAAAACCTAAATGCCTTATTTTCTTCTACAATGCCGCTTAACCCCAATACAAACTCGACAGTAGTTCCAAATAACCAGAAAATGGCACTTTCGATTTTTCCATCCTACAAGATCTAAATAATTCTTGTCGTAAAATGGGTAAACGGTCTGAAGTGCCTGACGTCCAGGCATTCTTTTACACATCGGTCCCTCCCTAGTCTCTGTTACCAATGCAACTCATCCCAAATCTTCCTTCTTTCCCTCCCGCCTGTCCCCTCAGTCCCAACCCCAAGCGTCACTGAGTCTTTCTAATCATCCTTTTCTACAGACCCATCTGACCTCTGCTCTCCTTGCCAGGCCAAGCTAGGTCCCAATTCTTCCTCAGCCTCCGCTCCCCCACCCTGTAATCCTTTTATCACCTCCCCTCCTCACACCTGGTCTGGCTTACAGTTTCCTTCCGAGACTAGCCCTCCCCCACCTGCCCAGCAATTTCCTCTTAAAAAAGTGGCTAGAGCTAAATAAAAGCATAGTCAAGGTTAACGTTCCTTTTTCTTTATCCGACCCCTCCTAAATCAGTTAGCGTTTAGGCTCTTTTTCATCAAATATAAAAAACTTAGCCCAGTTCATGGCCTGTTTAGCGGCAACCCTGAGACGCTTTTCAGCCCTAGACCCTGAAAGGTCAGAAGGCCGTCTTATTCTTAATATGCATTTTATTTTATTACCCAATCTTCTCCCAACATTAAATAAAGCTCCAAAAATTAAATTCCGGCCCTCAAACCCCACAACAGGACTTAATGAACCTCGCCTTCAAGGTGTACAGTAATAGAGGCAGCCAAGTAGCAACTTATTTCTGAGTTGCAATTCCTTGCCTCCACTGTGAGACAAACCCCAGCCACATCTCCAGCACACAACTCCAGACGCCTGGGCCGCAGCTGCCAGGGCTTCCTCCAGAACCTCCTCCCCCAGGAGCTTGCTACTTGCCGGAAATCTGGCCACTGGGCCAAGGAATGCCCGCAGCCCGGGATTCCTCCTATGCCATGTCCCATCTGTGCGGGACCCCGCTGGAAATCGGACTGTCCAACTCGCCCGGCAGCCACTCCCAGAGCCCTGGAGCTCTGGCCCGAGGCTCTCTGACTGACTTCTTCCCACACCTTCTCGGCTTAGCGGCTGAAGATTGACGCTGCTCCATCGCCTCAGAAGCTTCCGGGACCGTCACAGATGCTTTGGGTAACTCTTACAGTGGAGGGTAAGTCCGTCCCCTTCTTAATCAATACGGAAGGTACCCACTCCACATTACCTTCCTTTCAAGGGCCTGTTTCCCTTGCCTCCATAACTGTTGTGGGTATGGACGGCCAGGCTTCTAAACCTCTGAAAACTCCCCAACTCTGGTGCCAACTTGGACAACACTCTTTTATGCTTTCCTTTTTAGTGATCCCCACCTGCCCAGTTCCCTTATTAGGCCAAGACATTTTAACTAAATTATCTGCTTCCCTGACTATTCCTAGACTACAGCCACACCTCATTGCTGCCTTTTCCCCCAGTTCAAAGCGTCCTTCACATCCTCCCCTCGTATCCCCCCACCTTAACCCACATCATGCACCCCTTACCATCTCATTAAAACCTAATCACCCTTACCCCACTCAACGCCAATATCCATCCCGCAGCACACTTTAAAAGGATTAAAGCCTGTTATCACTCGCCTGCTACAGCATGGCCTTTTAAAGCCTGTAAACTCCCCATACAATTCCCCCATTTTACTGTCCTAAAACCAGACAAGGCTTACAGGTTAATTCAAGATCTGCACCTTATCAGCCAAATTGTCTTACCTATCCACCCCATAGTGCCAAACCCATATACTCTCCTATTCCCAATACCTCCCTCCACAACCCATTATTCTGTTCTGGATCTCAAACATACTTTCTTTACTATTTCTTTACACCCTTCATCCCAGCCTCTCTTCGCTTTCACTTGGACTGACCCTGATACCCATCAGGCTCAGCAAATTACCTAGGCTGTACTGCTGCAAGGCCTCACAGACAGCCCCCATTGCTTCAGTCAAGCCCAAATTTCTTCCTCATCTGTTACCTATCTCGGCATAATTCTCATAAATACACACTTACGGCCGGGCGCGGTGGCTCACGCCTGTAATCTCAGCACTTTGGGAGGCCGAGACGGGCGGATCACGAGGTCAGGAGATCGAGACCATCCTGGCTAACACGGTGAAACCCCGTCTCTACTAAAAAATACAAAAAACTAGCCGGGCGAGGTGGCGGGCGTCTGTGGTCCCAGCTACTCGGGAGGCTGAGGCAGGAGAATGGCGTGAACCCGGGAGGCGGAGCTTGCAGTGAGCTGAGATCCGGCCACTGCACTCCAGCCTGGGCGACACAGCGAGACTCTGTCTCAAAAAAATAAATAAATAAATAAATAAATAAATACACACTTACTCTCCCTGCCGAGCATGTCTGGCTAATCTCCCAAACCCCAATCCCTTCTACAAAACAACTCCTTTCCTTCCTAGGCATGGTTAGTGTGGACAGAATTCTTACACAAGAGCCAGGACTGCAGCCTTTCTGTCCAAACGACCTTACTGTTTTAGCCTAGCCCTCATATCTGCACGCAGCGGCTGCCAATGCTTTAATACTGTTAGAGGCCCTAAAAATCACAAACTATGCTCAACTCTCTACAGTTCTCATAACTTCCAAAATCTATTTTCTTCCATCGCTCAGGACAATGCTTATGCTGATAAGTTAGCTAAAAAAGCAGCTAGCGTTCCAACTTCTATCCCTCACCGCAGTTTTCCTCCTTCACATCGGCCACTCCCACCTCCCCCGCTGAAACTTCCACCTATCAATCTCTTCCCACACAAGGCAAATGGTTCTTAGACCAAGGAAAATATCTCCTCCCAGCCTCACAGGCCCATTCTATTATGTCATCATTTCATAACCTCTTCCATGTAGGTTACAAACCGCTGGCCTATCTCTTAGAACCTCTCATTTCCTTTCCATCCTAGAAATCTATCCTCAAGGAGATCACTTCTCAGTGTTCCATCTACTATTCTCCTACCCCTCAGGGATTGTTCAGGCCCCCTCCCTTTCCTACACATCAAGCTCGGGGATTTGCCCCTGCCCAGGACGGGCAAATTGACTTTACTCACATGTCAGAAAACTAAAATA